AAGGGCTTACGACAAAACAAGGTCAACCCCCATATTTACCATGAGGGGGAATTTAATGGTAAACAAATTGCTTCTGGCCCAAAAAGACAAAATAGGAAAATGGGCGGCAAATTGCGATTAAACGAGTTTTCTTGGGAAGAACTCTTACCCTCACTGACATGGATAAAAAATGAACTTCGACACCCGGTCAACTCTGATACGGTGAAGAAGTATTATGCTTGAAGGGCATTGCTCATGACCCGCTAGGATGAAAACCCACAAAGGGCATCCTAGGCAAAAGTTAAGGTCCACTTGCCTCGCTAGGATACGTCCTGGGCAGAATTTAGAGGCTTTTAAAAAAAAAAAAATCCCATAAGAGCAATGGTTGCCTTAGTCGAAAATCGAATGGCGGCTAAGGTCACACCCTTCCAGAAGCAAGCAGCCTTGTATAGTCTTCACTCTAGGCTCAGGCATCTCAACTAAGGCAATTAGGAGATCCAGGGGACAGATATCATAAGACATGATTGTTGAAGCCCATACAGTGTAGCCAACCTGGGTCAGTCGTTCTTCTAAATTTCATTTGTAATCCTTCTGTGAAAATAATAAACCTTTTGTTTATACATGTTAATAAAATTATCTTTCATTTCCTTTCTCTTGACCAAATTGTGGAAATGCCTCTTTATTGATGAATCATAAATACGTGCAAAGTTATTTTGTCAAGGTTTTTTCATGCATCATAAACAAGGAAACATTGAAAATGAAAAAGAAAAATAAAGATAAAAAGAGTGATGTATGCTAGGGATTCTTAGGCAAAAATTAGGGGAGCCTGCTAGATCGAAAACCCACAAAGGGCGATCTAGGCAAAAGTTAAGGTACTCATAAAAAGGAAAAAGCCCGCTAAGATATCCTAGGCAAAAATTAAGGCAGCCTGCTAGATCGAAAACCCCAAAAGGGTGATCTAGGCAAAAGTTAAGGCTTAACGAAAAATGAATAAAAAAGGATCCCACCAGCATAATCATGAAAGTCCAACAGGAGAATTCCAGTCACTTTTCTAGATGCATCAAATAAAAATAGATTGCATTTAGGGCATCCACACAAGTAGTCGCACAAAATGACTTTGTCAAAATTGAAAAACAAAAAAAAATAATAAAAATTGCCTTAGATAAATAACTAAAAATGAAAAGCATTAATGCATATAAGGAGACTATCTCCATGTTTGTGTTTGAAAACAAGAAGCACTCAAAACAAGTCTCCAAATAAAGCTCCCCTCAAGAAAACAAAGCAAGTCATCAATAATCAAGTGTCTCAACCAGAACAAGAGCTTCCAAAGCCAAAGCTCCAACCATCTTCCTTCTACCCAATAAAAAGAAAGCACATAAAAAAAGAAAAGCCGACGAAAAGGCTCAGTTATCCCCAAGCAGATCTCTGCTTACTCCAGAGGCAGAAAACCAAAAATATTACCCCAAGGCTCAACATCGCAACCACATGAGTCATCAAGCATACTCAACCAAATCTCCACCACATTACCCAATGGAAGAATAAAGGCATCACATTCGAATCATCAAATGATCAAGGAATCCAAACCTTCTCAGGGTTCCAACAAAAAAAGGGAGAAAAGAAAAACCCTTCATCTCCAACAAATGTCCAAAAGAAAGGGTCGCAACAGAGTAGGCCGAATAAAAATCCCCAAGTGGATCTCCCTAGAAAATTCTACAAAAAGAAGGAATCTGAATTTTCCATCCCTCAATAGAATAAGAGCTTCACAAGGTCAGCTCGCATCAACATCAATCAAGGAGCCAAAACTCCATCCTTAGAAAAGAAAAATCGAATCCCTAGGAATTCGACTAATTCCCTGGTGGATCACCAAAAAGCTTCATCTCTAGCGGGCTCCCCCCAAAAGAAGGAGAAAGCCTGCATGTATAAAAGAAACTAAAAAGTAAAAAGGCACACGCATTATCTCGAAAAAGCCAAATTTTAAATCGCGAAAAAAAGAGATAAATCACGGAAAAAGGCGAAATCAAATAAAAATCCTAACTTGTAGGTAATCAATAAAATCCCTAAGTGGATCACCTCAGAAAAAGGGAAAATCAACGAAAAAGAAGGAATTAGAAATTCCAAGAGCATAAGAGCATCACAAAAGCCAGCTAGCACCTATATCAATCAAGGAGCCAAGACTCCATCCCCAAGGGGACAAACCAAAATCAGATCCCCAAGAAGGCAATCAATCCCCGGTGGATCATCAAAAAAGAGAATACATCATCCCCAGTGAGCCTACTGCAAAGGTAAAACTTCAAATTCATCCTCAGAAAGTCATTTGCCTACACATAGGCAAGACCTGGCAAGCAAGAGTCAACATCCCCATAAGTGGAATATCAGCCTATTCAGAGGCAAAATAGTGCAAATACTAAAGTCCTCAAATCAAATGAAGCATCCACCTACTCAAGAGGAATTGTCAAAATTAATAAATCCCCAATGGATTCATGCCTTCCTAAGAGGCATTCATCAAGAATCCCCAACAATCAAACAAGCTGGATGATAGTTGGAAAAATCCAATCCCCAACAGTCAAGAAGCTGGATGGCTAAAGAAAAATCCAAAAACAAAGAATCCCTGGCACATCGGGTGACTACAATAAAAAGTCAACACAACAATCTTCAAACAAAAATTATTTCCCATGGTGCCAGTGCATGACCAAGATCAGTTAGTCGCTAACACACAGTTCAGTCCAAGAAAAAGGACTATAACCAGATGGCGGTTCACACTCATCACCAAGAGGTTGAAGAGAACACCCTATGGATATCTACATTCATCATTGGCACATGACCTGAAGCAGTAAGACGCCAGCACATTTTTATGTCCAAAACAAAGGACTCAGAACTAGATGAGGGTTCATATTCATCAGCCTCAGGATCAACTACCAGAAAAAGTATCCTATAGTCTCAAGATTATCAATAGCAAGAGCCTTACAACAGGGGGTTTGAAACCAGATCAAGTCTTACAAAAGGGGACTGATCAAGAGAGTCTTACAAAAGGGGATTCCTCAAACCGGCACAGTCTTACAAAAGGGGGATCGTCGGCTTACAACCTGGTGGGGGTTCAAACTCACAAGAACCTTACAAAAGGGGGTTCGAAACCAGACCAAGTCTTACAAAAGGGGACTGATCAAGAGGGTTTTACAAAAGGGGATTCCTCAAACCGGAAGAGTCTTACAAAAGGGGGCTTGTCGGCTTACAAACCAGATAAGGGTGCGTACTCATCCAGTCCTACAAAGTGGACTGCAAGTTTTACAACAACCAGATGGGGGTTCGTACTCGCCAAACCAGATGAGGGTGTTAGAATCGCGCAGCGGAATGTTCGCGTGGTCGGACAAAAACCAAGAGGGGGGTGAATTGGTTTCTTAATAAAAATTAGGTTTTCAAAATTTTCCCCAAATTTTACCGATTAAAAACTATGTAAATGTAAATAGAGAAAGGGATAGAGTCTTACACAGGAAATTTATACTGGTTCGGATCAAAAGACCCTACGTCCAGTTGCTAATCACTCAACAGAGGATTAACGCTGTCACTATAAACAAATTGTTACAATACAAATTACAATGGAAGAGATAAAGTAAAAGATGACACCTCTCTTGAAACCCATAAGAGATGAAGAACAACTTTCCCCAGAGACGGCACAGCACACAATCCACTAAGAACTCCACTTAGTGATTCTTATCGCTTCTAGCCCACACCAGGTTCAGAAAGCCCCCTTTCCTTGCAACAAACATTTCTTTGGCACTTACAACACTTAACTTTTGTATGGAAAAGGTTGTTCTTATTTTCTGAGTGCCAAAGAAGAGTTTAAGTAGGGAAATTAGGGTTTAGAAAAAGGGGATTTCGAAACTAGGGTTCTTGGTAATTGGGTTTTCGAAAATAGGGTTAATTTGAAATTTAAAATGAAAAACAGACTGAAATAATCGATTAAATGGAGTTATAATCGATTAAAACAGAGCTAAAAAAACAGAACCCAAAACCTCTTTGTTTTAATCGATTATTTGAACTTTTAATCGATTATTTGACCTAATAATCGATTATTTTGATGTTTTAATCGATTAAAACAGTGAGTATATACTGAAAATGGTTTTCTCACTGTTTTAATCGATTATTTCCCTATATAATCGATTAAAGCCGAGCCTGGATGATATATTTGGGCTTTTTGAAGCTTCTAAGTTGCAGACTATGTACCGGCTATCTCAAACTCTATAATTACAGACTCAATCTAATTAAAACAGAGTTATTACACTACAAAAACAAGTCTTCAACACTCTAAGTCTTTGAGTTCTTGAATCATCATCAAAATCAACAATCTTCATGTTCATCAAGGGCAACATCAAGTCCTTGAATGTTCAACAATCTCCCCCTTTTTGATGATGATCATCCCCAGAGACGGCACAGCACACAATCCACTAAGAACTCCACTTAGTGATTCTTATCGCTTCTAGCCCACACCAGGTTCGTAAAGCCCCCTTTCCTTGCAACAAACAGTTCTCCGGCACTTACAGGCACTTAACTTTTGTATGGAAAAGGTTGTTCTTATTTTCTAAGTGCCAAAGAAGAGTTTAAGTAGGG